GATTTGAACCATGGAGTTGGCCATGTGGGATTTTAGTGCCTTAACCTCCATACCACCTCTTGGCCCCAAGAACTCTAACTCTTATAAAGGTGAAATAAATTGTCAAAGATCACACAACTATTGGGTTGTTGGGACAGTCATGAGGCATTTTTGGATAGAAAAACCATTATAATAAGCAGAAAAATTACTGTAATAGCTCAGATCAAGCAAGTTGATTCCTAAGAGTGAGTGTGTTAGATGACTACAATTCTGACTACCAAAATTCAAGCTAAAGCAATGCTCTTCCATCTTAACTCATCAAAAAAGCCAAACATTTTAACATTCTACCATAACAGTATACAGCAATGGTGACGATGCGGTTAATTCTGTTCCTGATGTAGTGTTTAGTTCTCCCATAAATAAATATATAAAGAAATAGAAACCTGGAAGGAGGGCATGAAGCTGAGGTGGCTCACGGCCACACCTCTCCCTGCCATACCACAGCCGAGCACCCAGGACACAGACTGCTCCGTTACAGGCAGTGTGAGCAGCTACACTGTTAGGGGCTTGGTAATACAAAGTGCCAAGCTGGGTACTAAGTAAGCAAATCATTGCCCTCTAGGGACTTCCAGAAAAACAAGATTCCTAGAAATATGCACAGAAATATAATATAAACGTATGCTAGCTAAGATGCTATGGGAGAATATGAGTGATCAGATGACACTGTGTCACTGTGTGTACGTGTGCATGTGTGTGTGTGTTCCTGTGTACTTAAGCGTGTATCTGTCTCTGCATATCCGTACATATTCATTTGTTGACATTGTCTTGGTGTATCCATATATGTGTGTGGTTGTGTCTGTGTTTCTATGTATGTGAGTGTATATCTGTGTCTACCTGCATAATTGTGTCTGTGTATCTATGTATGTATCAGTGTTTGTGTATGAGAAAGTATGCAAGACTGTGTGTGTGTCTGTGTGTGTCTGTGTGTGTGTGTTGTGTATATGTCAGGAAGAGATTTCTGAATGCAATGGTGTTCATGGTATTTAAAAGAAGCAGACGAAGCCAGCTCATGGCGTGGTGGTTAAGTCAGTTGGCTTCCACATGGCCATTTGCACAGTTCAAGTACCAGACCCAGTGTATTGAGAAACACATTGGGTATGTGTGTGTGCCCAAGAAAGGATTGTGGCACGACCATTCCCTATGGGGCTCTCAGGAGGGTGCTTTCTCACTTTCTCCCTCCCTCTGTGTCTGTTTTTCTCCAGCAAGCACTCACACCCACTGGCAAACTTAAAAAAATAAATTAAAAGAGCAGCTAGATTTAGTCAGGTGAAGGTTGGGGACAAGGAGGGCAAGAATAAGATTATATTCTAAGTAGCAGGAACAGCACTAACAAAGTAACTGTGGCTAGAGGCAGGGCTTTGGGCACATAGGAGGTAGGAAACACAGCTTAGTTTGTATTGCAAGAGAGTAAGCTGCAAGCTATCCTAACAAACAAGCAGAATAAGTAAAATCATGGTGTAAAAAAGTAGCAAAGAAGAGGAGTGGAAACACAAGCAAGTGTTGCCAAGAGGGGTGTGAGAGACACAAAATAGCCGGAGGTGGTGCACAGGGTCACAGGGTCTAGAATGGCAGGCTGCGGTGCATGGACTCAGTCCCGAGGTGGGGCAGTGGATTTCGTCCTCGTTCCGTAGCCCTTGGCAGCTAGACCAGGCTGTGTTACATAACACCCAGTGTTGTGTTTGTTGAAGAGACGAGTTAAAGAAAGGAGAACTGTGCAGGAGAGTACTTAGACATCTGTGGGGCCCGTTACTTAAGTGACTCAGAACAACCTCCCCTGATGCAAATGCCATCCGCGTTAAAAATATTTTCACAATGCCCAAAAGTCTCTCTATTAGTTTTCCTCCTTAAGGCTAACTCATTACCAACACCTCAGTTAAACTACAGAAAGGGTGAGGTTTAACAATCGGCCAGAAATTAGTGATAGGCAATTATTACTTTCTCATTTTATAAAACATTGGCCTTGAAAAAAGTGCAACTGAAGAAAGTTACTTTTTTTTTGGAATAATTTTAGATTTACAGAAATGTAGCAAAGTTACTACCACATTCCCATAGATCCTTTATTCAAGTTCTCCCAATATTGACATCTTCTATTTTCATGGTTCATTTGTCACAACCAACAAATCAAACATTGGTACATTCCGACCAACCAAACTCCAGGCTTTATTTGGATTTCATCAGCTTTTCCTTTTCTGTCCCAGGATCCAATCCAAAATACCACATTGCATTTAGGAAGTCACATTTGGATAAAACATTAGGAAAATACCTAGAATAGTAATAATGCTGAATGGTTCTGAAGCACCTAGGTGCCAGACTCTGCATGAGTGACCTCATTTCTACACAACCCTGTGAGACTGGAACACAATCTCCATTTATAAATGAGTAAAGTGAGGCTTACAGGGGCTCCACAGCTGGTCAGTGGCAGAGCCAAGGCCATCGCTGTGACCAGCAGAGGTACCACAGCTCTTTCTGCCCAGCACAAACGTGGACATACTGAGTTTTTCTCAAGCGTTTGTGTAAAGGCCAATGCTGACAAGAGTTCCTGCTGCTGTGATTCCCCTGGAATGGAGTTATACCATGGAGCTCCAGCACTGAGCTGAAGGCCACCACGCTTCTCCTTGGTTCGATGCAGGGAGCAGTAAGGACTGACAGCACAAGCATCAACCAGAATGCTGACATGCCTTGCTCCCTGTTCAAATTCTAGCCCAGACTTTCATCACCTGCTGCCCTTGTACAAGCCATATAACCTTTCTGAGCTCAGTTTTCCTCTCTGTAATGTGGAGACAATGGTACCTAATTTGGGATTGCTAAACCAATTAAGTAAGAGAACATAGATAAATTTTATAAAGGGTCAATTCTTACCTCGGATCTACAAATCCAGGCTTGCATGAGCACATGTATGTGTGTCTGCACACACACACACACGTAGAACATCATGGTCAAACTACAAATCCCCTCAATTCAAGAGCAATACCATTCTTGGGGACTAGCAGTTAGTGTAATGGCTATGTCGTTGGACTCCCATGTAGTCGATTATGGTTTGAGTCCCAGACAGGGTGGCTTACACTCACGCTGGGTGTGTGTGCGTGCATGCCCAAGATCCTGAGAGGAGAATAGAGGAGAAGGGATCGCCACGTGGCCATCCCCCCTGGGGGATGATTTCTCACTTCCTGTCTCTCTGTCTCTCTCTGTCTTTCTGGCGAGCACATGTGCCCTATAGCAAAAACCCCTACAAAAAAAGAAAAAAAAAGAGAGAGCAATACCATTCTTTTCCATTCATGAATAGGACAGGGTAATTCACTCCCTGTCCTTTAAGTGCTGACGTCAAGCTCAAGTCCCTATTCAGAGCCAGTGCAAGTCTGGAGGTTGAACTTCCTATTGATGAAAGCTAGAGCCAAAAACGCTGCCTCCCGTGTTTACATATTTTTGATGAAGACAGTATCTCCAGCCCCCCGGCTACTCAGAGCTTGTACCCCTCCCACCGAGCCTCCCTGACAAGGTGAAAAGGTGAGTATCCTCCATCAGCTGACCCAGTGGACTCCTCACACCACGCACACTCTTCCCATGCTGTAGGTCACGAGGGCTGTGTTTTGGGGTGCTACTTTCATGGAAGAAATCTTCCAAATGAACATTTATCTTCAGAACTTCCTCTCACCCAGCTTGGGGGGTGGGGGTAGGGTGGGATGGGGTGAAAGTTCTAGAAATTATCTAGAAATTAGATGATTTTTATTCTGTTGCTTGAAATTCACAAATCTAGCAGAAGATGACACCCACCCCCCAAAATAAAGGGAGATAAAAGAGAAGAAGTGGGGGAGAAATGAAGGAGAGAAAGGAAGGGGAGAGGGAAGGAAAAGAAGACCAGAGAGAGAGAGAGATGGAAATAATGATGCCAGTTAGATGAGAGAGAGAAAAGGACTCAGAGAGACACACAGAGAGGAAACACAGAGATAGAAAAGAAAGAGATAGGAGGAAGAGATGGAGAGATAAAGAGGGAGTGAGGCAGACAGAGAGGTGAAGTCAGAGAGCAATCAGGCCAACTGGGGAATTGTCTGATTCACTCCGTGTATCAGGCAAAACACACTGAGATTCAGCAATCACGCTGACTTGCCAATGACTCTTGTATGTTTATCACTGGATTCTAAGAGCACAGATTCAATTAAGTCATTTGTTCAAAGCAATGAGTGGCAGACCCGGACTCAGAATCTTATTTATCTTGTCTCTGCTGTTAGTTACCTGCTTTTGCTCAGCAAATATTAGTTACCAAGCCAGACACACCTGCAGAAAGAAGTCGCATCACAAGCATTTACAGGGGAAACTTTTCCACTCATCTTTGTAGCACACAAACCTCCTGTTTAACCAATTACGGTAAAGTTTTACAGCTTCTTAATAACACACATACACCTTTCCTCAGGGATCTTTCTTTCTTTTTCAGTTTGCTACAGGGAAAGTGCACTCACCAGAGAGAGATAGGAAATAGAGGGAAGTGAGAAAGCACTCCCTGGGGAAATGGCCTTGCTGCAACCCCTTCTTCTCCATTTCTCCCTCCTTTTAGGATTTTGGGCATGCACATACACATACCCAGTAAGTTCTCCAAGCTGCCGGGTCCAAGACTCAGACTTCACAGCTGACCATGTGGGATCCAGTCACCCTAACCACCACACCACTGGCTGGCCCCTTCTCAAGAAGTGTTCTAAACCAATCAAGCATTTTCTTAGTTGAATGACTTGCTGAAAACATTGACATTGGCTTGTTCTAACTACAAACATTTGCCATTTTTAACCAGAAACAAAACAAAAAAGAGCCTATCCTTCTAAATACTTGCAAGCAATTACAAGTATCAGCAAAGAAGTACCTCCTCCTTAATACAAAACACCCCTTGAGATGGAAAGCCTAGTACCGAGGAACAAGTAGATATAATTTGCCATAATTTGGGTATGCAGGAGTGAATATAATAATTAGAATACCTGTAGATAGAACTTGACCCCATAAGAGACACATTACAAGGATGACCATGGAGCTCCCCATTTTGCTGGGTTCTTCTCAATTCTAATAAGAATTCCTTGATACTTATAGCTTTCTAGCTGAAAAGGAGGTGTGTCCTCTGGAGTGATATATTGCAATCGCTGCCATAAATCAATATAAAGGAAGGAGGGACTTTGCTAATAGTAGGTAGCTAATCTGTGGGAACAACTTAGGTGTGTTTGATTGATTGCCATATGAATAATCTGGCTGTTGCTCAACTGCAAAAGCACAGACATTAGAGATACAAATTCCAACTTCCTTCTAGGTGAATTTCAAAGACTCCCAAGTGCTTCCTGAACAAGGGCTTGATTTTAACCTTGGAAAGTTTGAATTAACCTGTGTGAAGAATGCCCCTAGTTTTGGAAGCAGAGCAGGATGTGGGCTACTGGGCAATACAGACACAAGGCCAAAAGGAAAAGTGTCCTAGTGCCAGGGGGAAAGCATCTCTGAGATGATTTATCCTGGGAGGGCATTTTTTTCATCGGCCCCCATGTACCTAACCTCACCTCGGAAGAACAACAATGACAAGAGTGAAGGTGTGACCAGAGAAGAGAAGGCATGAGGGGTGATTCTTATGGAAACCCTGGCCTCTTACAGCGTTGAGCACTGTCTTCTGGGTCTCACGCTCATTCCATAACACAAGAACTGAGAAACACATGACCTCAGACTGCACCATCACCAACCATGTCACGTGGCTTTGATTTCTTGCCTTTGCCATTCGCATTGTATGAGACTTGGAGCTTGGTCCACAAGGTCTGCCCCAATTTCTGCCTACCATGTGGGCAATTTCTCTCTCTGGGTTTGTGTGTAAATATCACTTCACTCTTTGGGATCCCCAGTCTTCATTACCAGACTGTGATACTCTCCCACCCCACCCCCCCCCATAATCTACCATGAAGTTATCTGTCAATTTTTGGGGGGGCGATAGAGAATTTTTAAAAATTATTATTTAATTTTATTTATTCATCCATTTATTTTCATTTGACCAGAGAGAGACAGAAAGTGAGAGGGGGAAAGTAAGAAAGCAAACCCCCAGGTCCGGGATGTGAACTATGGTCAGCCATGTGGGAGTGTCCAATGTCTTAACCACCACGCCACTTGCTGGTCTCAAGAGAATTTTTTAAAGAGATTTTTGCTATAGGGTGCGCTCACTTAGTGGAGATACAGAGAAAGATTGAGAGACAGAAAGCAAGAACTCACCCCCAGGGGGATGACTGCGTTGTAATCCCTTCTCCATTTTCTTTTGGGGATTTTGGGCAAGCACGCACCCAGCATGCATTATAAGCAGCCAGGTCCGGGACTTAAACTGTAGTCAACTACATGGAAGTTCAGTGACATAACCATGACATAACCATAAACTATCTGCTGGTCCCTTTTGAGAAAAATTTTTGTTATAGGCACATATGCTCACCGGAGAGACAGAAACAGAGAAACAGGAAGTAAGAAATCATCCCTCTCCCCTTGCGGGATGGCCATGCCACAATCCCTTCTCTTCCATTCTCCTCTCAGGGTTTTGAGCACCCACACACATGCGCTCGGCATAAGTTTCAAGTCTCTGGGGCTGGGACTCAAACCGTTGCTTGCCATGTGGGAATCCAGTGGCATAACCATTATGCTGTCTGCTGGTCCCCTGTCAGTTATTTGTATTGGGACACTCTCAATAGTTGGAAACTCTTGGGTAAAAGAAGACTACTCTGTTGGACTTGCCTCTGTTTTCTGAACTGACTTCATAGCTGAGACACCGAGGCTATCAGATGGCACCTGATCTGCTTACTGTGCATACACTAGTAATCCATAGGCTCTGCACTTTGCTTTGGAAAGATACCACAAACCCATGCTCTACATCAGTCACCAACCTGGATTTAGGGTTGTACCTTTGCATTTGGCTTCATCCAGCTAAAAGTTATACTCGAGATTTGATATCTTTTTATTTATTTATTTATTTTGAGAGGTTTTTTGCTATATGGTGTGTGGACTTGCCAGAAAGACAGAGAGAGACAGAAAGTGAGAAATTACACCCCTCCACCAGGAGGATGGCCACGCCACAATTCCTTCTATAATTCGTTTTCCTCCATTCTCTGCTCGGGATCTTGGGCGTGTATGAACATGCTCCCAGCATGAGTTTAAGCCACTGGGTCCGGAACTTGAACCACAGTCAACTACATGAGAGTCCAACGACATAGACATTATGCCAACTACTGATCCTGATATCTTTTTAATTTTTAAAAAAGGATTATTTAATTTTATTTATTATTATTATTATTATTGTTATTATTATTTAATTTATACAGGGTTCATGTGCTCACCAGAGGCAAGAAAGAGAGGGAAAGTGAGAGAGCAAGCTGCCAGGTCTAGAACTCAAACCACGGCCAATCATGTGGGAGTCCAGCACCTTAACCAGATCACCTGCTGGTGTATTTTTGTTTTTATTTCTTTTTATTTCTATCTCTTTTATACATTCAATCACATTACTTAGCTTACAAAGTGAATATTCCAACATGTGTACATTTCTCACCAGTCCAGTTCACCACACTAGAGAGTTATCTTCAATAGATAATAATCAATTTCTTTGTCCCATAAATGCCTTGCCTCTCTATTTTTGTCCTTAATGTTCTTCCTCAGACTCTACTCCTTCACCCCTCTTCCCGCCCTCTTCCCACACTGTATCAGGTATTCCCAACCATTTACTTAGTTTCTATAACCTTTAGATTTTTGCTATAAAGCACATGTGCTCACCAGAGAGATGAGAAAGAGAGAGAAAGTGAGAAGTCATTCCCCATGGTGAATGACCATGTCGCAATCCCTTCACCGTCATTCTCTCCTCAGGATTTTGGACATGCATGCATGCACACCCAGCAAGAACTTTAAGCTGTGGGGCCCGGGACGCTAACTGTAGTTGACTATGTGGGAGTCCAGAGACATAACCATTACACCCTCTGCTAGTCCTGCCAATATCTTTTTTAATACTCCATGTTGTTCAACAACTCTCCATGTTGTTCTCAAGCTTGTTTTCTCCTTTTGAGGGGAATGGGCACGTTTCCACAGGATAGGCTCTCTGTGTTTTGATCTCCTACTGTCAGCCCAAGTATCAGGGGAAAAGGGAACAAGATTACACATCTAGGGAATGCTGAAGACCAGACACCTATGGA